AGTGTAGTGCTTAAGGCACTTGACTGCTAACCAGAAGGCTGGCAGTTCAAACCCACCAGCCACTCCTCGGAAGGAAAATGGGGCAATCTACTTCCGTCGTGATACTGCCTCAGAAACCCAAGGAGGGATCGCTATGAGTCGGGTCTGACTCAATGGCACATCACAACAACACACATTTAAAACAATTACAAATCTTTAGGTAAAATTTCAGATATTTTTGGAAAGCCAAAATAAAATTCATTTTCTCTGATCATGTATATATATATATATGTGTGTGTGTGTGTATGTATTTATATATATATATATATATATATATTTATATATATATATATATATTTTTTGAACTCTGAAAATGAGCATAATTAAGAATGGACAACTATGAGTACACAAAGGATCACTGGCAGTACAATATTAAATCATTTGGCTGCTAACCAAAAGATTTGTGGTTCAAAACCACCAAGCTACTCCAAGATAGAAAGATGTGGCAATCTCCTTCCATGAACACTATATCAAAAAACTAAAATAAAATAAAATTTTATTAAACGGGGTTAAAAAAAAAAAAAAGACAATATCCTAAGAAACCCTGTGGAGCAGTTGTACTTTGTCATACCAGCTTGCTATGAGTAGAAATTGACTCATTGGCACCTAACAGCAACAACAATATGAATATACAAATAAATTCATTCACATATAAACATAAGGAATTAAATAAACTCTGAGATTTCATTGAAAAATTTTCTGGTATGTATATAAAGCCCATCATGCTGTACTTAAATTGCATTCAATTTCTCATTGTATAAAACTGCTGCTTTAAAAAGTTATGAAGATAATTCGTTTTTATTGTAAATGGATTGCATTCTGTAAACAACTGATTGTTTAATATTAAAGACATTTAAAATGACAATAATTTACATTTATTTTAGGATTTATTATGAGAATTTATCTCTGTAATACTACCTACAGATTTCTAATGAAAATGAGAGACTATTGATACATAATTTTTATTTTGTATTGCTTTGCCCTTTTATAAAATAGAACTAAATGAGTTGGCAAAAAATGCATTTTGCAAGAGCTACATTCTTTTCTCCATATACTAAGCATCTGGCAAATAATAGTAATGTTCATCACACTATTTAAATGAACTAAGAATACCAGAAGGATCATTAAATATTACAATAAGAGAGTGTGAAGACTGAAAAAAACTTTCATATTCTTGGCAATATTTTAGCCTTTTCTTTTAAACTAAATAAAAGTTAACAAAGAAGCTAATTTAATGTTTCATTAAATCTTTCAAACTTTATCTGAAACTTGTAGTTTAAACATTTATTATGTTCTTGAAAATTACAAACAATGCATAATTCTCTTCTCCGTTTTCCCTTTTCAAAACAGTATTATAAAAAGTATTTTCAAGGTGTCTGTATCTCTGCTATAAAATTCTTTAAAACTTCCAAAAATATTTTGTTATACTATTTAAAAATGGGTAAATCTAGAGTTTTTATGCAAGCTGCAGTATATTCCCTCATAGAATAAAAGACACCAAATGTCCTGTGTTCTTAAGGATAAGTCTTTCCTAAGGTTTTCAGAAGTGCAGCTGGAATGCTCCTAAGCAAGATTGGCCAGATTTTGTCTCACCTACTTAGATCATATTGTCAGAAGGGACCAGTCCCTGGAGAAAGATACTATGCTGCAAAAAAGGGGAAGCCCCTCAATGAGATGAATCGACACAGTGGCTGAAATGATGGGCTCAACTAAGATTGTGAGGATGGCACAGGACTAGGCAATGTTTTATTCTGTTGTACATAGGGCTGCTTTGAGTCGGAACTGACAACTTAACAGCACCTAACAACAACAGCAACAGGTTTTCTGAGTCTGAAAAATAAAAGGCCTGATGAACATATTCAAGAAGAATTTATCATATGTAAAATACTTTATGAATTACTTATAT